CCACACACACACACACATGGTTCATGATATGTTGGAATGGTATAGGGTGCTCAGGACTGAAAAAGAAAAAAAAATTGTAAGAGAGGATCTGTTTCTATTAATAATGTTTTCCTCAAATAATATGTTAAAATTACAAAGGAGCCAGTAGTTGGAAAGTAATGTGGGTGAGTAGCTGTTTAAAAATGCACCCAGCTGATGTGAGCTACTGATCTTGTTTACTTCCCATTCTTGACAGTAGTCAATAGACTTATGAGCAGGTGAATTTGTGTGAATAGCTCAGGAACTATCACAGGGAGGACTTTAGGTTCTGAAGAGCTTAGACTCTTTGGAGTGTGATTTTAATGTTCTCCATGAACTCAGACAAATGTCACCTCATTTACTACCATGTGGAGACCAGCACACTGATTGTAAGCAGTACTGTCTATTCAGAACAACTCATGTAAGGGCATGAGCAAAATAAAACAGAGTCAAGAGACAGAATACCTGCGTTTCATTAACATGTTCAAAATATTCCAAACATGTGGATTTTGTTGAAGAACAGCTGAACGAAAATAAAAATCTTTTAAGGTCTCAAGATTTTGTGGGCAAAACTGTGTATGTGGTGTGTCCTTATCTTCACATATAAGCAGTATTTTCTCTCTTTTCCCCCAGAACACCCAACCTTGGTTATAGCTTTGAGACAAACTCAGGGAATGCCTTTCACTACTTCTCCTATGGGGTGGCTTGCTCTGAAGTTGAGATTGACTGCCTAACAGGGGATCATAAGGTAAGAAGTTGGAAAAACCTTAGTACTAAGGTGGTAAAAGAGCATAGAAAAAACTGAATTGTAATATTAACAGCAGATAGAGATAAATTTTCTGGTTGGGAAAACAATGCCTTACAGCAGGGATCAGCAAAGTAAAGGGCCAGATAGGAAATATTTTAGGTTTTGTGGGCCGTGTAGTCTCTGTCTCAACTACTTGACTCACTGGTATGGCATAAAAGTAGTCATAGACACAAAGGACTTATTTCCAAAATCTATAGAAAGCTTCAACACCTCAACACCAAAAAGGCAATCCAATTCAAAAATGGGCAAAAGACTTAAACAGACACTTCACTAAAGATGATATGCTGGCAGCCAACAAACACATAAGGAATTGCTTGCGATCTTTAGTCATTAGAGAGATACAAATCAAAACAACAATGAGATACCATCTCACCCCAGCAATGATAGCAAAGTTCAACAGGACAGAAAATAAATGCTGGCAAGGTTGCACAGAGATTGGAACTCTCATACACTGTTGGTGGGATTGTAAAATGGTACAACCATTGTGGCAAACAGTATGGTGTTTCCTTAAAAAACTGAAAATAGAAATACCATTTGATCCAGCAATTCCATTACTAGGAATATATCCTAAAGACGTGAGAGGCAGGACATGAACAGACATATGCACACCTATGTTCACTGCAGCACAATTCACTATAGTAAAGAGATGGAAACAACCTAAATGACCATCAACAGGTGAATGGATAACCAAATTATAGTACATGCACACAATGGAATACTATGCTGCATTAAAGAACAATGACAGGTACATGAATTATCTCACAACATGGATGAGCCTGGAGGACATTATGCTGAGTGAAATAAGTCAATCGCAGAAAGACAAATATTGTATGATCCCATTACTGTAAAAAGACAAGGAATGGTTTGCTTAAGGAAGAGAACTTACTTTGTAAGTTACCAGGGAGGGGAGGGAATAATGTCAGGCTAGTTGGAGGCTACCTGCTGAGGTAGGTAAGGGGAGGGATGGTATGGAAAGAGTCTGTGACCACCGTGATAACATTGAGGAAAGGGAGGACACTGAATTGTGCACATAAGATATAGATGACAGAGGCTAATACCAATGCACAATAAATAGTGCATTACCATTAATATCAAACACCAGGCTACAGATAAACACATAAACATCTGAGAAGATCAGATGGGGGTTCATGAACAGGATTATACCCTAGACCAAGGATAGAGTCATCTTAGGCTAGTCTTGCACAGATACCAGTGATACAAAATACCCATAATCCTTACAGAAACAACAGAAGGCAGACATAGAGCAATCCCTCACAGACAGCCAGACACTGTGGGAGAGAGATCCAACAAATTGACAGACTCAGGACCATAGTATTGGGGGATACCAGACTCAATTGGCACAACAAAATACATACAAATTTTGTTCCACGACCTACATTGGTGAGTAATGACTTGGGTCTTAAAAGCTTTCAAGTGGCTATCTAAGAACAGCTAATGGTCTCCTATCATCAGAAGAGAAGAAGAGTGCAAAAAATCCAATGGCATTTGGAAGCAATCAGACCTAGGACATGACAGACCTTGAGACCAGAGCAAGATGGTGCCCGGCTACCAAATGCCAGCCACTCAGGAAAGGATCAAACTGGAGATCTTGGATAAAGTGGGAGGAAAAACGTGGAACAAAATCTAAAAGCACAATAATAACCAGAATTTCTGGTTGAATGGAGTCTAGTGGGACCCCTAATACTATGGCCCTGGGATATACTTTGGGCCTGGAATAAAACTCACTCCCAGGCTCTGGCTCTTAGCCCAATAGTAAAGAAGACATAGACGCAGATCACTCAACCCAGGGTGATGCACCCACATATTCTATGGAGATGCATTCCTTGGAGCAATTGACCACGGGGCACCAGGGGGCAACATTCACATGGAGGAAATATAGGACACAGGAGTGCATAACTATGCACGGTGCCGGGGGGGGGGGGGTTGGTGGTTACTGGGAAGGGAGAGGAGGAAGGTGGTTTAGGGTTGGGGATGGTAATTGGGGAGTGAAACTAAAAGTGCATGAAATGTTGAATGTAAACCAAATTCTGCTCTGTAAATTTGCACCTAAAGCACAATAAAATAAAGAAAAAAAAAAAAAAAAAAAAAAAAAAGGGAAAAAAAAAAAAAAAAAAGGCAGTCACAGACAATAGGAAAATACATCAACGTGGCTGTGCTACAATAAAATGCTGTTTATGGACACTAAGATTTGAATTTAATATAATTTTCCCAGGTCACAAAATATGCTTCTTTTTACTTTTTCCAACTATTTAATAATGTAAAAACATAATTAGTTCACCAGACACATGGCCAACAAGTTGATTCGGACTCATAGCAACTATATAGGGCAGAGTAGAACTTCCCCATACAGTTTCCAAGGCTGAAATCTTTATGGCAGCAGACTGCCACAGCTTTCTAACATGGAGCAACTGGTGGATTTGAACAACTGACTTTCTGGATAGTAGTCAATCACTTAACCACTGCACCACCAGGGACCCTTTAATTAGCTCACAAAAACAGACAGTGAGATTGATTTGGTCCATGGGCCATAGTTGACTACCCTTTCCTCACATATCTACCCAGACTCAGGTCCAAAGCCCCATGTCCTAGGGACCTACCATTACTACTCACACATAAGTGTCTGCACAGTTATTTCCCACTACTGAAGGAATGTTGCTGCTCCTCCTCCCCTCCTTGTCTGCTAAGAACTAACTTTAGCCGTGATGGCAGTGGAGACTTGGCGAGACATTAACTCTTCTGACCAAGTATGCCCAGCACTGGTGTGAAGATACGATTTGGGTTGGCTCTTACAGCTTAATAGTCACCAAAACCCATATATCATCTCAAACATCTTTCTCCTCAAACTTTAGAACCTCCACACAGACATTGTCATGGATGTTGGCTCCAGTCTGAACCCTGCCATTGATATCGGGCAGGTAAGGCTCATGAGGGACCAGGGTGGTGATGGACTTGGCCGTTGATATGCCCCATTCCCCTCCCAGGATCACTAGGAACAGCATGTTGTCCAAAATAGTTTTAAGTAGACCTGAATGTGGTACCAGATGAATATCCTACAGAATGTGATATAGATCGATGAGCCCACCCAGCTCTCAAGGCAGAAGACAAATTAATATGGATTAACTTAGAAAGGGCACTCTCACCTCTGAGGACGACATGATGAATGGTGAAAACATTGGATACACACACACTTTGAGAGTGAGCAGAATGTAGAATGAAGACTGAATTTGAGATCCATGCCTAGGCAATTAGATCTGAGGTCAGAAAAGTTTTCTCCTTCCTCCTTCCTTTTCCATACAGAGCCACTTTTGTTCTACAGGAGGCCTATGCTACCAACAATAAAGTGATAGAGGGCATTGGAGCAAAAGACACAGGTAGAGCAGGAGTAAAGGCATGAGCCAAAGCAGATCACTGTTGGAAAATATGAGAATATTGAGCAGATTCAGTAGAGTAGCAGAAGATAGTAGGAGGAATAAATAATTGAAGCATGAAGGATTTGGTAGAAAACGTAGATCATATTTCTCAAAAAGTGTCAATTACTGAGTACTCAGAAATCCAATCATTAACTAATCTGCTCATTAATTCCTTAAATAACTGCTGGTGAGCCATCTGTGGGCAGACCCCACAGGGGCAGGCAGCCCTAATACTAGACAATGGCAATCCAAAGATGATTAACCCATGGCCTCTCCCCTGAACAAATCATTCTGCTATGGAGGGACCACATTGCCCTCATGTGAGCAGCAGGCTGGGTGAGCAGATGTGCAGACCAGTAGAGTGTGGCAGGTGCCTGGTAGAGGTCTGGAAGATACTGTTGGGATCTCTCTCTCAGAGGAGAGATGGAGTGGGAGTTATAAATGGTCTGAGGCAAGTCTCAAGGAATCTACTATCCAAGACATCATTCTTCTCTTGGGGCCATCTGAAGGTCTGAGATCTCACTCATAGTACAGGAGGGAGAGTGGGCCCATGAAGGACAGTGCTAGCAACTGTGAGCTTGCTTTTTAATTTGGGGTTGCCATTTCCTCAGTAGAAAAATAGAAAAACATGTCTCCATCAGCCCTAAAACTAGTTTTAGTGGAAAATTGTCCCCACCACTGTGGGACCCAGTTAGAATTGCTGACCAATTCTGAACTGACCTTCAGTGTCAATGCTTTTGCTCTGAGTCAATCCCTGGTGAAGGCCCAGATAGGTTATCCTGGGGCTAGGGCAGGATCTGGGTTAGTATTAGAGGTCTCCTTTTAGCTTCTTTCAAGGTCCCTCCTCAGAAGTAGGGCTTTGCCCCTGTCGTGGGAAGCAGTATTCATCTTTGGGGAGTAGGGAGGCAGAATAAACATGGTATCTGTCTGCCCTGCAGGTGGAAGGGGCATTTGTTCAAGGCCTTGGCCTCTTCACTCTGGAAGAGCTGCACTACTCCCCCGAGGGGAGCCTACACACCCGTGGCCCCAGCACCTACAAGATCCCTGCATTTGGCAGCATCCCCATTGAGTTCCGAGTGACCCTCCTCCGTGATTGCCCCAACAAGAAAGCTATCTATGCATCCAAGGTACTGTCACTCTGGGTCTGCACTGCCTTACTACCTGGATGGAGGATGAGGAGTGGGGCAGGGAGTGCACAAGTAGGGATGAAGGGCTCTGGTTATTCACTGCTCAAGTCTGCAAGGGGATCCTCTTGAAGAGAGAAGAGGGCTTGGGACTGGCTTTGGTGAGGACAGTGGAGAGGTGAACAGTCCTGCCTGAGAACCAGTTGAACTGAGTTGAGGACACCAGCTCCTTGCACGGACTTGGATTCCTAAATCAAATACTGAAGGTCAAATTTTGGCCTCCACTCATGTTCCAGGTGTGTATCTCTGATCCTTGACACTGAGAGATGGTGAGGATACAGCGTTCCTGTTGTCCCATAATAATGAATGCATCTCCTTCATTACAGAGAGGGAAGTTCCTTTGTACACAACCACTCACCTCCTTCAGTTACCAGGACCCAACCTTTAGACTTGATCAGCATGCCTGAAGGATTATGAAAACATAGTTGAAAATTAATTCAGCTTATTTATACATTCCTAGGCCTAAGAAAGAAGATGAATAGCCATTTGTAACCAACCAAACACATTCACTTGCTCATCTCATGATTTACTTTACTATGTGGGGGTCTGGGACATGTTGTGATCCCCTTCAGAATTCATGATAAAATTCAAATTCATGATGAAATTGCAGCTCCATGAGCCCACCCCCTAGAACTTTTGATTTGGTTGGTGTGAAATAAGACCCTGGAACCTGCATTTTTAACAAGTATTCCTAGTGATTCTGATTCTGATGGTTGCTGGTCCATGCTTTGAGCAGTGGGGGTGGAGGTGGGGATGGAGGAGATCACTGCTAGAAGGTACTTTAATTCCAATTGGTCCTTACGCCTTTAATTTCAGCAGTTGCTGCAAGTATATTTATTTTACCCGTAAATGTCAGAGTAGCGAATAGAGTATTTCTCTAGGCTAAAAGCTGCAAAGAAAGAGTTAAAACTCATATCGGACAGATATTTTTCTCTCTAAATTGCAATTATTTAATATAACTTTGAATGATACATTATATTTACATGATGTCATCAAAGATTACATAACAAGAGTTAAGAGAAATATGCCAGTAAAGTGTGCTCATTCATTAGATGGATTCTTCTCTGCTCTGTTTAATTCTACTTGCCCCTTCCTACCTTCCTTGGTGTTGCCTGTTAGTGCTGGGTGGGGTTTCTCTGGCACCACCAGCCTTTGTTGTGCCGGGCTCCCTGCCCATCTCCTGGTTCCTCTCAGTGATGCAGAGGCTGGGGCCACTCTGTCTGAGTTTCTGCCCTGCTCTCTGTTTGTTCAGGCTGTTGGGGAGCCACCCCTCTTCCTGGCTGCCTCCATCTTCTTTGCCATCAAAGATGCCATCCATGCAGCTCGAGCTCAGCATGAAGATTCTAATAAGCAAAAGCTTTTCCGGCTGGACAGCCCTGCCACCCCAGAGAAGATTCGCAATGCCTGTGAGGACAAGTTCACCTCCCTGGTATGGTTTCTCTCAAGTGTCCCCTTAAGCTGAGGAAGGCTGGTGCAAAGCCTGGCCTGTGAAAACAAGGAAAGATTCTGTAAAGAGAAAATGAGGTATTGGGCTCCGTATCAACTGGTAGCTTTATACTAATGGCCACCCTTCACTACATGGTATGAGACAACCAAATGAACTTGCAAGATAATAATGAGAAACCTCTCTAATGTAGCAGGTTTTAGCTGGGCCTTCCTACAGGCAGGTGGAGCATTTTGCATAGTCATCACCCACAGATTCCATACTTTTCCTCCTAGATGAGGATGACGGATAATACTTGAAATGAGCCTAATCTTTAGTATCAGTTGCTAGCATTTTTGAGATCCTTCTTTGTTAAAGACACTGCGTAAAATATTTTGGAATTGGGGGGTTGGAGAACAAATTAATTAGGTTAACCACATTTGCTCCAAGGTGGCATAGTGCCTAAGGCATTTGACTGCTAACCAGAAGGCTGGCAGTTCAAACCCACCAGCCAATCCTCAGAAGGAAGGTTGGGCAATCTACTTCTGTAACGATATGGCCTCGGATACCCAAGGAGGGGTCGCTATGAGTCTGATCCGACTCAATGGCAGTGAGTTTGGTTTTTAGTATGCTGATACTGAGGACACAGAGATGCCCTTGAGGACTTTGCAACTTTTTAGGTAAACAGATGATTTCATTATACTGTGATCGATTGTTACCATGGAGGTATATGTAGTAAGAGCACAGAGGAATTCCATGGTTTGAATTCCATTTGAATCACTTTTGGAAGCCCATGAGATAACTTTAAGTGGAAATTTACTGGCAAAAGAAAACCATGTTAGGACTAGAACCAGCTCAGCTTCTGAGTTATGCTAACAAGGGCACCGCACATATAACCCACTGCTGTCAAGTCAGATCCGACTCATAGTGACCCCTCCTTGGGTTTCCGAGGCGGTATCTCTACAGAAGTAGATTTCCCAACCTTTCTTCCAAGGAGTAGCTGGTGGATTTGAAATGCCAGCCTTCTGGTTAGCAGTCAAATGCCTTAGGCACTACGCTACCAGAACTCCTGAACATATAGAATCCTCCACACATATAGAAGTCTCCAATTGCCTTTTCAACTGCAACCTCTGTTGATTTAACAGAACGAAGTTTTCCTGATACTGTGATAGCTTTTGAAATTTTAGAGGTCTTTGGGTTTAGAGGTAGAACTGGTACTCATGGACCCAAAGTATACCAGAGATAGGGAGGATATAGGAGAGCTCCCTAAGCTGGGCAAATCTGCCATCCCAGACCGCAATACTTAGGGTGAGGACAGCAGATGAGCCCTAACAGGGCTACCTTTCAGGTCTGCCCCTAGATTTAGTTGGGGAGGATGAGACACATAAACCATGTGCTAAGCTCCCAGACAGTAAAAATATCCATAGCTGTGCAGTAACCTTCCCATCGCCCTAAACTTTCCCACCATGGGCCCCCTCCATGCTCAATAATTACCCAAACCCAATTTCCCTGAGACAAAAGACTCTGTATAGCCCCCAATAACCTTACACAGGTTTCAAAGTTAGCTCCTTGCAAACAATCTGATGCAGAACTCAATCATTAGAGCACCTGTGAGGTCCCAGACCTAAAACAAAGATTCTAATCCAATCCAGTCCCAGCCAGTTTTCATATGTTACAACTCACCAGTGATTTAGAATCCTTGTGATAGATTCACATGAGCACCTCATTCTGTGAACCAACAATGCTTTTTAATGTTGTGAGAGCCAGGTAAGATGCAACCACATCCCTGTTGTTCATCACAATAGCCCCAGAGCCTAATATAGTGCCTGCTACATGGAAAGTGTTCAATAAATAAATGAAGAGTAGGATTTAAAGGGTCCTGTCCTGACAGTAGTGCCAAAGGCTGTTTGGTCTTGGAAATGGTGGTTGGCAGTGGTGGGAGGTAGCAATGTATGTGAAAGGATGGGGGACACTGAGTCCCACGCTATTGAAAGACCCTGACAGTGAATACTCTGTCTTTCCTTCCTAGTGTGTCACTGGTGCGCCAGAAAACTGTAAACCCTGGTCTCTGAGGGTGTGAAGAGAAAGTCCCCAAGAGTGTCTTCTTATGCTACACTGGGACTTCCGTGGAGTTTGATGCATGTACTGCAGAACACGAATCTATCAAAGTTGCATGATAACAAAGCTGTGATCCATCAGGGTGATGTTTGGAAGAACATTGAGTGCCTTGAAAATTTTTGATAAAAAATATTATTTGCAAACATAATGATATGCAAATTCATCACTGTTAGGCCCAGGTGGCTAATATGAGATTAAGGTCATTTCGTGTCTATTTTAATCATGTATTTGTAATAGATTTAGGAGTGTTTGTGCTACACATTTATCACACTAACTTACAAAGACCATCACTGTGACCAAGTTCTCTGGACAGCCTGTGTAACCTCAATCGCTGACAAGGACTCTCCTTCAAAGAAGAGTCCACAGATCTCTAGAAGCTTAAACCAAAGTTATTCTAAATCAATGTGCTGTCCTCTGAAAGTCTTTTCTTCAAACCAAAGAAAGTCAAGTTGTAACCTCAGATCCATACCCAAATTTTGCAGTGGGGCAGTGGAGTAAAATTAAAACCTCTATGAATCTTTGGCTTATTTGAAAGTGTAAAGATTGAAATAAGATCAAGGTACATTGGATCCAATTTTATTAAGCTGCATAAAGTAAGGTTATTCAGTAAAAGAAAAATCCAACCTACCTGATAATTAGGTACTTACAAGTTGCTAGATTTCTTCTCCCACTCTGTATTTCCAAAAAGATAAGGTTTAAAAATCTTCATTTGAAGGCAGAGTAATCTCCTCCCGGAAATTATGCTATCAAAATCAGTATCAGCCAGAAAAACAATAGTTTAAGGAGCCAGGGTTCTCATACTAACTCTGCCTCTAACAATCTGTGACCTTGGAATGTTGCTGCCCCTTTCTGTGCTTCCTTTTACTGAAAAATAAAAGGGTTGGACTGGATAATCTCTTACATCTTCTCCAGCTCTATAAATCTATAAATATGTGACCTTGAAAAATCCAGTTATATAAGATATCTACAGGTATCAAAGACTTGGTTCCCTTACTATTGCAGAATAACTGGGCATAATAAACTCTGCTTAGATTCATTCAGTTTCTTGAGGTTGGTAAAGCAAACAGTAGAAGAAAAAATTTCCTCTAGTTGCTTCAAGAGGTGATTTCATCACTGTCAGCCATGGTGGCAGGTGAATGATGTTATACTGTCATGTGCCTTCATCATATAAAACACCCAATCTATGCCAAACACCCTTGTTCTGTGGAAGGAGGAGAGTGGATAGTGGGAAACAATGTAGCTGAGTTCAGTGCTTGATGTCACTAATAAATGAAACTGTCAGTTGGCTGGCATTTGAGGAATGGTTATTAATCATCATAATCACACCAAATGCTAATACCTGTCATGTGTTACCCAGTCTTCATTTCTAGAAAACACACATACCAAACACTCACATGCTTTCTCTCTCTCACACACACACACACTCTCATACACACACACACACACACACACAACTCTAACAAAAATTCCAATCATAGACTTGCTGACTATTTTATAGCATGGTAAAGTCTGAAGTGTTTTAGAAATCAAATTGGTATTTACAATAAGATCCATGTAGGTCCACTTTAGATGATTTTCTGGGAAGCTCTTGGGCAGGGACTGAGACTTGTCACTTGCTATTAGTGATGTCCTAAGGGATGAGCAAAGAAGCTCTGGTGGTGTGGTGAGTAAGGTATTTGGCTGTTAACCAGGAGGTAGGTGGTTCAAACCCTCCAGTTGCTCCACAGGAGGAAGATGAGGCAATCTACTTCTGTAAAAATTTACAGCCCTGGAAACCCAATGGGGATTGGTATGAGTTGGAATTGGCTCGATAGCAGTAGGCAGTAGGAAGGGATGAGCAATGTCTCTGAATTCCCTTTTGCGCTTAAGAATTGAGACAAGAGTGAAGTAGTCACGAAAATCAAATGAGTGAATGCTTTGTGAACTATAAATAATTGTGTTACTTTGAGGTGTTATGCTCCTCAGACACCTTGCCTTGCCCTGTTGTCCTAATCTGCAAAACTCCTCAAGTCTATAAAGTGAAGAATTTCCTTAGTCTTTTTGGTGTTGCACAAGATAGTCTGAAAAAACCGCCTGCAGTGTGGCAGTGGGTCCTGCAGAGGGTGATAGAAGATTGGACATGAAACAACATTCGCCAGTGCTCCCAGCTGCATCCCATCTGTGGTTAGCTACTTAGTTACTGATTTAAGATCTCACAGTACACCAAGTGTTCTCAAAGATCTTTCCAAGACCTGGATTCACAGCTGATTTGCTGCTTTAGGGTTTTGGACTGACAGAAATCTCCTCAAAGGTAGCTGTATATGGCCCAGCCTTGGGAAACTGCATTGCAGACAAATGTCTGGCAGGGGGAAAATGATTATTTCTGAGTATTTACAACTTGTTGTCTGCTCCCATTGAGTTGATTCTGACTCAGGGTGACCTTATATGACAGAGTGGAACTTCCCCACAGGGTTTCCCAGGCTGATATTTTACAGGAGCAGATTGCCAGGTCTTTTCTCCTGCAGAGTAGCTGGTGGGTTTGAACCACTGACATTTTGGTTAGCAGCTGAGTACTTAATGCTTGCACCGCCAGAGCTCCTTCCAGAGGGGCTTATTCAGGGACATCTAGTCTAGGAAGCTAGAGCATGCCGAGGTCTTGAAACCTGGGAAAACTAGTATACACAAGATGTAAACCCACTTCCCTGAGTCAACTGACGCTGACCAGGTGCAAAGAGGCTGATGGAGACATCAGGATGCCTCTCTGTTCACCTATAAGCAGAGCCAGCTCTCTCCTTGGTGTGGCCAAGCTGTCAAACTATCATCAAAAGGCAGCTGATGGACCTCTGAGAGCCAAGGTGGATGGGAGGGCAGGATGGGAGGACAGGATGGAGGCTGTAGGAGGAATCTGGGGCAAGGGAAAAGAACAGAAATAGTACTAGATGATTGATTTATGACTGGGAACATCCCTGAGCCTATGATATTTTTATTTCTGTTGAGGGGATCCTGGAAACCATTCCGTATGTGCCTATTTTCGAACCTGGTACAAGGCTATTCAGAACACGCAACTTCCTTGACCTGTGGAGACTTGAGATCATCCTAGTGCCCTAGGCCCAGGGGCCTGCCCTGTTGTCTCTTTTCTGAACCGGTAGAGTGCATTTCCCAAAGGCAGGAGGCAGATCTGCTGACAATCTGTCACCTGGAACAAAGCAGACCATTGAGGGGAATGAAAATTTCAGACTCTGCCCAAAGGAATCCTGGTGTCATCTTTGCCCTTGAACTGCCCTGGCCCTTCCCTTGCACATTCTGGGACCAATTCAGCATCCCAGACTGGGAGAACACTGCGGACGATCATGCTTAAACTCCTTGTTTTAGAGATGGAAATCATAAGCCCAGAGAGAGTAGTTGGCTTGTCTATGGTCTCATAGCTTTTTTAATGGGAGAACCAGGCTTAACACAAGGCTGCCTGGCCACTTGTCCAGCCTTTTTGTACTAAACCACACAGCACTAGTCAAATGAGCCTTCTTGTATGCAACCTGTGGTCAGAAGGCTGGGGGATATGACAGAAATCCAGTTATGGTGGCTAGAAAGGAGACATGGAGAGCTGAGGCCCAAGACAAACACTGTGGTAAGGAAGAGCGTATGTATTCCTCCTGCCTGTGTGTCTATCATGGAATGTTAATATGCGGTTCTTTCTTAAGCCTCACAGGTGAGGAACAAAACAATCAGTGTCAAAACATCCACTTTTTCTGAAGTGATGTGCTAAATCATCGATGCAAAACTTACAAAGGAGGTGGCTAGATATTGATTTTTGCCACCTTTAGCCCATTACTTGCCTCAAGGGAATAAAGGCTTGAAGTATAGAGTTTGGGAGATTAGAGAAAGAATTTCTTTGGTGATGTTGTTGTTGTTGTTGTGTGCCGTTGAGTCGGACCCGACTCATAGCGACCCCTCCTTGGGTTTCTGAGGCAGTATCACTACGGAAGTAGGATTGCCCAACCTTCCTTCCGAGGAGTGGCTGGTGGGTTTGAACCGCCAGCCTTCTGGTTAGCAGTCAAGTACCTTAGCCACTATATATAATTCTCATTGCTAACGGCAAATAACAACAACAACAACAAAGAAGAGTGCATTAGGGAGGTCTCCTCCACCAGGCCAATGGAGGAGGAGCATCAACTGAACTATTCAGAGACCCAAACATGAGATCTGTTTGAGAAACTGTGGCTGGATCAGCAGGGCAGCAGGGCAGCCAGAGGAAGAAGATGACAGCAAGCTATGCTTCCTTCAGTGGTGTCATGTGAGTCTTCTAAGGAGGTTAAAACTTCCTCCTGAGTAGATAACAAAAGTCCAAAAAATTTCCCCAGAAGCGTAGTCAGAGACATGAACTTTCATTCTGAAGAGAAACAAAAAGAATCAGGAGAGAAAGGATTAAAAAGATAAAGAAAGCAGGCTTACAAACATTGCTAGCAATTCAATGTCCAGCAACAGCAAGCAAGAGTGGATCCAAGATGACCACTACCCCCCTCCAACTTTACAGGGATACTTATCTATGAGTTTGAGGAATTGGGGATGGGGGCTACTTGACAGGCTTCAGACTTGGTGGCGCTGGGTCCCTATTGGAGGGGCCCCCAGTCTATGCACTACCACCACCTTTGAATGCTCTGATAAGATGCTGTGGTTAGCAAGATTTATGGTTTAAAACTATTTTAAGGACAGGTTAATATGTTACAGGGAAGGTGGTTAATACCTGGTGAGGGGAGCAGGGGAATATGTGATAAGGTGAAACACGGGAAATGGCTTGTAGTTCTTACAAGTATGGCTAAACAAGATGACATGTGAGAGCCATTTTGGGGGGTTGCAGTTACTGACAATACAAATGGCCAGACAAGAGTAATACTAGTGTGGCTATGCTGGAGGGAGCCACCTAGGACTGCCTGGAGAGGGGAATGTAACTCAACAGAGGGAGGGAGCTGCCTGATGCCCAGGGAT